TCGAAAGACATCCTGGGATTTTTAATGACCACAGAGAGTCAGGACCTCGGTTTAACGTCTCATCTGAAGGACGAATAATAATAATTATTATTATTATTAAATACACGATTGTGTTAGAATATTAATTATAAAGCTTACATTTCCCATTCATAAGCTCAGCATAATCGTGTGTGATTGGTTAAAACGCGCAATACTGTAAAAACGCGGAAAAATAAATATAATGCAACAAATAAGCCCTAATATTAATTAGATAGTATTACTAGCCTGATAATAATAATAATAATCGTCTTGCTATCGTCAAAGGCATCAGCCACATGCGATATCTCTGACTATCGTCGATATACGATACTATCGTCTATCGCAGTGGTCTTCACTATTTTTTTCATGGGAGCCGCACTGATAGGGCAAAGTCAATCGGAGAGCCACTTTTACCGCGAAGTATCAAAAGTTACATCCAGTCATAAATAGCATGTCTTTTTTATCAATCTGTCATATGCAATGCAATACAAAAGGGGCTATCATTCTTTATCATTTACCAGTCAAATTTTTTAACTGAGACAAGATTATTTAAAAAAAAGCAGGATTACCTTAATGCTGGAAAGACCTTAAGTTATTTTATTTTTTTATACTAGCCTAGTATTTTTTATACTATTTTTTCATGTATCTAACCATCCAAGTGCACATTCGGCATTAAGAGCTGACTCCGCAGTGAGTCAACTCCGCAGTGAGTCAGTGTCATGGACGTAGGACAGAGCAAGTGTAAATATCTTTTCTAGTCTATATTTCCATCTTGTAATGCCGCTGTTTTAGTTTTTTTTTTTTTAAATATATAAATTATTTGTAATAGAGCAGACACTGTCTGACCGTGTCTACACCAGCTGTCGTGTCGTGCCGTGCCCTGCTGTGCTAAAAGTCTGTCTACACTTGACGCGACAAAGCGACAGTTGCAAATCATTTGAACGTAGTGTCAGTACAGTTTGTCATAAATAGAACGAGGCATCTGTTTACTGATGGGGATCGTGTCGCATTGCATGGCGCCGCGCCGCATCCAGTGTAGACAACATCACTAGGTTCTATTGTCTTTTGTCGGATCACGCCACTCGCGTCCGGTGTAGACATGGTGTGAGTTTTTTTTAATTGGTTATGTTAAATCCTGCCGGGGGAGCCACAAAGTAAAGCTTGGCGAGCCGCGCAATGAGTAACACTGGTCTATCGGCACAACCCTAATGGAACATATGTAAATTTGGACGCAGCGCACAACATTTACCTTCCACTGTTTTGCATGTTCTAAAACACCTCAAGGTGACAGTGGAATTGTTTCATCCCTCTTTCACATACCCTTGTGTACTTATTGAAGTTCTGTAGGATCTCCCAGCCCCACTGCTGGTACTTCTTATCCTTGGTGAATCTATACAAGTAGAAGAGGCTCTCTACAGTCTCTGGCCGCAGAAGGTTGTGCCGGTCTGCAATCTGTAAGACAAAATGAGATCACAAAGACGATTTCATTTTACATACCCATTAAACAAACACCTGTTTATTTGTTGACGGCCATGGTATACTCATCCAACAAACACCAGTTTCACAGCTGCCAACTGAAACCTCTTCCTGAACTCACCTTTACATCTACATCCTGTGTGCTGCCCTCATGCGTGTTGAAATGAGCTATCTCTGGGCTCAGACCTGTCTCCATCTGGGCGTACATCTGGTAACAAGTCTCAATCAGCTGTTTTGCCAGCTCCATATGATCAGTAGGAAGGCCGTAATGTGCCCCCAATGCCAGAGTACCAGGGAGGAAACAAACCAAGTGGTCCTGAAAGAAACAAGACAGGAGAAATAAAAGGGCTACATGAGCTATTTGACTCTGCTGGCCCTCAAGTTATTCTTTGACAACAAACATACCATTTTGGGACTAAAGTGTCCATGGGACAGCTCTCCTACAAATGTAAGGCCGGAAGGAGTAGACTTCTTCAGCAGGTTCTTCTTCACCCCTTCCACAGCCTGCAGGTAGTCATCCAGCAATCTGAAAAAAAAAAATGGGAGCACAAATAAATATTTGATAAAATAAATATTTGAACCTGAACCATCACACTATATATATATTGTTGACAGCTGTAGTTTAATTTTAACAGTCATCCAAGGCTGTTTATTTGTTGCTTTTTGATTGAGTATTAACACTACAGGCTATCATACCACTGCTAAAATGTTGGTATTTCCTCAATACAACAAGGAATACATTATGAAGTTCAAACATAGAGACTCTACTTACTCTTTCTCAGTCTTGTCTCCTTGTATCCACTGCTTCAGCAGGTACTCATAGTAGCTGTCAGCCCTGGCACCCAGCGTGTAAATGCCCTGATGGGTGAACAGCCCGTTGTTGGTATTGATAAACATTGGCACTAACCCATCTTGCTTTCCATCCAGTTTATGCACCCGCTTCATCACCTCCATTACAGCCAGCTACAGAAAGAAATGGAAGAAAAGTAACCACCTGTTCCTATGAGAACAGAATTCCTTAAATGAGTGTTCGGGTCTTAACTGAGAAAGATTGTCCATTGTCTTGACCTTGTATTTGGGGTCTCCAGTAAGTCGGCTGAGATCTCTGAACTCAAGCTGAATGCTAGTGACCTCAGCTACGGTACTGTCTGAAGTCCACTGCGGAGAATGAGCCGTCCCCTTCCCAATATTCACATCCGAATAGGGGATTTTGGAGGCTGTACTGAAGGCAGGCATCAGTCTGGAGCCAATATCTTTCTGAAAAATGATTGATGTGATAAAAATAACATCAAATCACAAGAACATAGTAACAGGAAAAAGAGAAACTTTGAGCTCAGGGGGTTTGAAGACGTTTGCTCTTTCATCAGCATGTGCTCTGCTTCTTTCTTACAGCTTTCTCCAGGAACAAGGAGTCTCCGGTCAGATGGTAAGTACTCAGAAGGCCACCCAGTATACGAATGGTGCTCTCAAACAGATTAACATCAACATTTTTATCGAAGGAGAGCTCTTTAGCCACCCACTGCCTGGCCTCTGCAAACTCTGTCGACAAGATTGATGTAAATGAAGTAAACCACATTACACAGTAAACAGCTCAGTAAACATAAAAAATGGCAGATAATTTAAATGTGAAGTATGTAATTTGTCTATGTTAAAATATATTTTTTTCATTCCCATCTAAATACGAAGACAGACATATAACTATTAAGTGATTTGTTGGTTTATTTACCAGGAAAGTGTAAATATGGTGGATCTATCTATCTATCTATCTATATATTAGGGCTGTCAAAATGAACGCGTTAATAACGCGTTAACGCAAATTCAGTTTAACGGCACTAATTTTAGTAACGCAGTGCGCATTTTCTGTTTGACCCGTGGCCTAGGCCATATTAGGAGAAATGGAGATTTACAGTGTTGCCAATTTAGCAACTTTGTCGCTCGATTTAGTGACTTTTCAGACCCCTTTAGCGATTTAGTTTTTTTTTTCCCCAGAAAAGCGCATAGCGACAAATCTTTAGGGTTTGCCCAAACCTTATTTAGTTTCTGAGACTCGCCGGTACTGCCGCACGAGCGCGAGGTCTCTTTCCCAGCGCGCACGCACCTCTTTGCCTCTGCTGAAACTCTGTCGACAAGATTGATGTAAATGAAGTAAACCACATTACACAGTAAACAGCTCAGTAAACATAAAAAATGGCAGATAATTTAAATGTGAAGTATGTAATTTGTCTATGTTAAAATATATTTTTTTCATTCCCATCTAAATACGAAGACAGACATATAACTATTAAGTGATTTGTTGGTTTATTTACCAGGAAAGTGTAAATATGGTGGATCTATCTATCTATATATTAGGGCTGTCAAAATGAACGCGTTAATAACGCGTTAACGCAAATTCAGTTTAACGGCACTAATTTTAGTAACGCAGTGCGCATTTTCTGTTTGACCCGTGGCCTACGCCATATTAGGAGAAATGGAGATTTACAGTGTTGCCAATTTAGCAACTTTGTCGCTCGATTTAGTGACTTTTCAGACCCCTTTAGCGATTTAGTTTTTTTTTTCCCCAGAAAAGCGCATAGCGACAAATCTTTAGGGTTTGCCCAAACCTTATTTAGTTTCTGAGACTCGCCGGTACTGCCGCACGAGCGCGAGGTCTCTTTCCCAGCGCGCACGCACCTCTGCTCTGTTCAGCGAGCAGCGCTTTCCATTAAAAACATATTATGTCGCTTCTCTAATTTTACATGCAAGTAGCCGAAATCACAGCACATCTATCGTCTTTATCTTACGTGTAGCTTATTTGATTTGATCAGACGACGGCTCGATTATAAATCAGGATTTTTGTGCAGATTATCCTTGATCTTGGAAGGGAGAGCTGGTTATGTAGTCTTAATGGGTCACGTTTCAGTCACTATTTCATATTCATTCCGTTGTCTAACAACAGAAACAGTAAAATATATCAATGAAAACAGTTTTATTGAGAATTCAGCTGCATCAAAACACAGTATGTGGGCACAGAGAGGCAATCAAATGTAATAATAAATAATAAATGTACATTTTGCATGTTCAGAAGAAGTGAGCTGCCCTGTCATGTGAATAGTGTAAACAGGCTTGTGTAAATAGTAAATTGCTCAGTGCAAAGAAAGAGAAGTAATGGGTATTTTCATGTAATGATATCCAAACTGTCATCTAATAGACATGAACAAAGTTCTTTGAAAAACATCTATGACCTTTGAAACATGTCTAGTCTTCATGCTCTATGCTATGGTTTCATTAATAATAAACATACATTTGCATAAAGCATCCATATTTGTCCACGCCCATGTTGATAAGAGTATTAAACACTTGAAAAGTCTCAATTTAAGGTACATTTAGAACAGATAAAAATGTGCAATTAATCATGAGGTAACTCATGACGATCATGCGATTAATCACGATTAAATATTTTAATCGATTGACAGCCCTAATATATATATAAAAAATAATATATATATATAAAAAGACTTTTTCTAAAATTAAATAAATTAGGAAGAGTACAATGAAAAGGTATTTAAAGGCACAATATGTAATTTTCGCCGCTAGAGGGCGTGTATTCAAAATAAACAGAGACAAAGGCATAGTTTGATGACGCTGTAACTGAGTGTGGAATCATGGGAGTTGTCGTCTTCATCCCCACAGCCGATGCAATCCGACGGGACTCGGGCAGAAATCATGTTCATGGATGAGCTAATGATTTATTAACGTAGTAGAATGAAGCAGGGTGAGGCTGAAAGCCGTCGAAGCG